TCTCCTCGGACAAAGACTTAAACTCGGGTTAAAACTTTAATCAACGTTGTTAAAAACGGACACGAATCGTTAACGTTTCTCTCTGTATGTACTTAGTACTTTGGAATTACAAAGAATAGATACAATTTGTCTACACATGTTTTATTACGTGAGACACAATAAAATTTCAATTTGTTTCCGCCAATACGATACATATATCATATATACAAAAAAATGTCTTAGAATAAAAAAAACTTCTTCCATTTACACATGAACATTATGTGTGTGTACAAAAAATTAATACCATTATATATATGCGCATAAAATCATTGTAAAACGCGATATAAGCACTGGATAAAGAAGACAAGGTTCCACTTGAGATAAATATGTTTGGCTGAGAAAACATGCATAAAATATATGTGTGTATACATTTGCCTTGATAAAAATATACGATTTTCACTGTAAATCTACCTAAGTTTACTTAAAATTGCGCTTATTTCCAAAACACTCATTATTTCGGTGTAGGTGGAGTCATGTAACACTCCGAGATTGTCGATAGAGTTTGCTTTGATTCCAGCTGTTTCCAGCTGTTTGCTCTGATTTCACCTGGTCACAACGAGATTATACGAACGATTTCTAGCGTTAGCTAATCTTTCTGTCATGTGTAATTTAAATTCTTACACGTTGCCGCAACGTTTCTTCTTTGATGGCTGCACGAGTCAGCAGCTGTTTCATTTTTTCCAGAAGCTTGTGGATTAGCTGTTGCCTCAAAATTCTCAAGTTTCCGTTATCATCTTCTTTCTGAGCTTCTTCTAACATAACTATTCTCTGTTCAGCCAGTCGCAAATTCTAAGCTTATCACACGTTTTTGAGATTCCTCGTATTGTCTTTGGAGTAAAGTATCTCCTTCAATGTCAAATCTACTTCTTTCCCTGCATCCGAAATAAGTGACCATAATAATACATTTATTGTAACAAAAAATAAACATATATTATGCAATATCAAAGAAGAGACTGGTGGTTTACTTGATTGACTAGAATATGATTTCTCTTGGAACTAAATTTCAGTCTTTTATTCTCCGCCTGAAGCTTCTCGACAATTCGCTTCAATGTAAATATTGTTTTCTCCATTTCGAAGGTAGATTTTTTAGCGCGTGGCTCCGGCAAGTCTTTATCTGACGATCTAGGAGTCTGACGACTTTTCTGCTTTCAATAACTTCATATATCTGTAATAATAATAATATGCAATGATATCAATTGTTCATTCCTATCTGTGNATAAGAGGACTTTTCCAAATGATCGACTTTCTCTCGCAATCGCGGAGTGTCTGAATTCGTCCTTTCTAATGCGAGCCGCAACTCGAAAGTTTCACTCTCCAGCTTGAGATTCATCATTTCCACAATATCTTTGGTCATTTCTAATTTTTCCAGCTGGCTGGTCACGCACACACTGCCCTGTGAAATATCATTCAGTAATAATCGCCACATGATTCAAAAATCGGCAAATGTCACGAAAGCATACGAACCTGAGAGACTGCTTCCAGAGCAGCACTGTGACGCTTCAGTTCCGCTATTTCCAACATGAGCTGTTCAACATTTTCCTTCCTTGAGCGTTCAGTCAATTCTTTAACACGTCTTCTTAGCGTTAAACATTCCTTCTCCAGTTCATTTACTGTTTTACGTTGTATACTCGACAAAGGTCTCGTCGACGAATCGTCGAACACGTTATCGTTCTTTCGGCTTCTGTTAACGGTATTTAAACCTACTTCTTAAATACCATTTCTCTCTTTCTATACACGAGACGACGGATCGAAGTTTCTCATGATTCGCCAGCAATCTCATTATTTGAATATTAAAGTAAATAAAACAGGTAGTAAAAGTAACAATTTGTTTGAAGATATTAACTCCTTACTAATGTATTTCTTTCTCAACGTTTCTTCATAAAATGCAATGCAGCACAATTTGTAATACCTAATATCATAATATTCCCATTATTAGTAATGAGTTTAATATGTTCAAAAACAAACATGATATTTCTCACAAATGTGTTTCCACCTTACTTTCTTCCTGATGTTTTCTCTTCAAAATATACACGATAGTCTTCGCACAACAGTTTTCTCAAGATCAAGAACTGTCCTGTCATATGGTAGAACCTATGAATGAAACCAAAATATATTATTAGGATGAGTGATCAATTCAAATAGACCAATATAAACATGATAAATTATTATAAACATCTCAAACATTAATACTACTGTAAGTTTTGGCAATTCTCTGATTTTGGAAAATTTTGGAAATATAACTTGTCCTTGTACAACACCAATCTGTGATGTGAGCTCCTCTATCCTAACATTTGAAGGTAATCCAGGGAGAAGTAGATCACTTTCAATAATATCTTCTACCTTAGTCTCTGCTACCTTAGTCAGTCGTATCAATTTTTGATGACGTTATGAGTAAATAAAACAATGTTGACAAGTGATAAAAAGTAACACAAGTAGGTAGTAAAAGTAAGTTGTTTTAAGATATTAACTTCTTTGCAATTTATTTTATATTTGACGTTTCTTCATAAAATGTAACTCAGCTTAATTTATAATACATGTACCATATCATTTTCATTATTACAAAGAAGTTTAATATGTTCTAAAAAACATGATATTTCATTCAAATGTGCTTGCAATTTATTACCTTCTGGATGTTTTCTCTTACAAAACGTAAACACATGTGTTGCTCCATAGTCTTCTTAAGATCAAGAACTGTCGTATCATGTGGTCATGGTGAAACAAAAATTATATTATTAGGATGATTAATCAATTCAAATAGAACAAGACATGTTTCATAAAATGATAAATTATTATAAAGATCATTGCCACTATTGCAAGTTTTGACAATTCTCCATGATTCAAGAATAAAGTTGGAGTTTGTCCTTGTGCAAATGCAATTTGTAATGTCAAAGTTCTTTTATCATAACAACTGAGAATAATCCAAAGTGAAGTGCATCAATAACATTGTCAATTGCTATCTTAGTCAGTCCTAACAATTCTTGATGAATAAGTTGTGCCTAGTTTCAGACTTTGCTTTATACAATTCTTGTCAAGTATCTCTTAATGCATCTTTTAATTATGAGTTTTCCACAATATTAGATGATATACGATGCTTATATATTTATCTCTGTCTCCCAGGTGAAACATTTGAGGTATGTTAACAAAGTTATTCACTGTCTTTTAAGAGGTTATCTTTTGTTAAAATACTGCCGTATTACACGTGTCTAGTTTATAGACAGTTGTGTATTTTTTACGATATTCGCGATGTAGCTACACTCTCGCAGAGCGTCGGTAACAAATGAGGATGCTCAAGAAATGTCAACATGAGAGAGCGACACTGCCGTTCAATGTTAGAACTTCTATGTGGCAGTCTTTGTCAGTAAGAATGGATAACACAATGCCAACTGATCAATAGTTTATAGTGGGTAAGTTAAATTTCTCGAGGTTGATAAGTTTTCGAGAATCGATAAGTTACCAGAGTCGATAAGTTTACGGAGAGCGGTAAGTTACCAGAGTCAATAAGTTTTTGGAGAGCGGTAAGTTACCAGAGTCGATACGCTTTCTGGGATCGGTACGTTTCCCGGGGCCGGTATGTAACTTTATTGCACATCGCAGAAGCAAAGTGAGGTCCAAAGATTCTAATTTTTGGATAGATTCAAATAAGGATGGTACTTCCGACTTACCCAATGCAAATAATTCATACTACATTCTCCAAGCAATCGATGTCATTAAGTTTGATGTGCATTACGAAGGTCTGAGTAACCTGTATAATCTCATAAATTTCAAGTGGCTTAGCATTAAGTATGGCAAAAATATCGATGACTACGACTTTGAAAAAATATCAGTAAAGCTTCCGGAGTAATTTGGCATGTCAGGCTGTGAAAAAATTACTGTGAGAGGATTGGAGAGGCACAGCATAGAATGTTCAATGTGAAGAAATTGATTGTTACAAATCACAAGAAATCTGCTGCGACAGAAGTAACTTGTATGATGTTAGAAGATAATGTCTTGACTTGTGAGAACCCTATCAAAAGATATGAAGTAAGATTACAGTTTGTAGTAAAAGTTTCACAGAAATATTCACCTCTATGTATATATAATACATACTATTTTTATAATTTCAAGTTCGTTGTAAATCATCTGTCATTATTAGAATATTAAAGTAAGTAAAACGTGCAATAAAAGTAACAATTTGTTTAAAGATATTACTTTCTTATCAATTTTTTTTCTCGACGTTTCTTCATAAAATGTACTTCAATTTGTAATACCACATATCATAATATTTTCATCGTTACAAATAAGTGTAACATGTTTAAAACAAAGATTATATTTCTTTCAAATGTTTCCAACTTGTTTTCTCTTTGACGTTTCCTTTTTCAAGATACAGTGTAAACTACTATACAGTATGTGTACTTGACTTGTGAGAACCGTTGGAAATATCAGAAGAGT